AACAAGTTCAGAATACATCCATACAAACATGGATGACCATTTTAATCCGTTTGCATGTCCATTGCAGCAACGCAAGGTCATATCCTGACTATTTCAGACAGGTTAGAGTAGGAAAACGCTGTACTAACTGACTGTTAAAATGTTTGTGTGCAGGTATCGAATGGTTTTGGAAGGAGCAGTGTGGATCAACCACAAGAGGACAGAAAAACCAGAGCAAGTACTGATCCCCCAACTGCATATCCTATCCAACGGACTTACCTTGCTCAGAGTAGGAAAGAGGAACTTCTACATCATCAAGTGGCTCAGTCTCTGAGGATATCTGCTCTCGCGTGGAACCAGTTTGACCTATGACGGACTGATTGGGAAGGTAGGTGACTAACACCTCTGCAGTGTCAGTGAGGAGACGTGGATGGACTGATATTTTGGAACACACTGCGCTTTTGGCATAGCCTGAACTCTTACTGTTATTTCCTGTGGTTGTCATATAAATATGTACATATGTGATGTTTAATCTAAAGCTATGGTATTAAAAAGCATTTGATATAAAGATTGTTGCCTGCTGACTTTGTACTGCTACAGAGGTCTTGCAAAGTGAACACTAGGGGGCAGCATGGTCTCAGTCATAATGGTGGCGCTACAGGCACACACAGCTGCACCACATTCCCTGCTGTGACCCCATAGGTAAATAATTGCTCGCATTAAAATTAAATTGCAACATTTCTGGCAAACAGGTTATGGTTCTATTTTAAGCAAAGCATGTGTCTTTCAGTTTGATGTGAACATGAGGCCAACATCTGTCTTAATGTGGCTATTTTTTCTGTCTAAGTAGTGGAAGGTGTAAACTGTACCAGAAAGGAAAGAATTAGGTTTAAGATAAATAACAAAATAAACTAATCTTCCTTGTAGCTTATTTTTAGATTCCATATATTTTATATTTCCATTGGTCCAATATTTTTTGAAGCTTGGTGTTAACTTTGTACTAAAAAGGTAAAATATTTCACTGTGGTGTAAATAACAATTTCTAACTTCCAGCACACAGGACCTTTCTCTGTCATTCTTTGTTTTTTCTTTTAGGATTTATTTATTTTTATTTATTTATTTTTGTGCATTTACAGACTACTGAATGTGGAGATGTGCGTTGCTTTTTAATCCTAGTACATCTGTTCTTCTCCTTTTCTCCTGGGGGCCTGTGGAGATGGGGACAGGGTCTGGAGAAGCAGCTGAAGGAGTATGAAAAGTTGGAAAAGTGGGAAAGGGTCAAATTAGTATGATTGGGACTTAATAGTTGAATAAAACGTAATGTATGAACGTTTTGGAACATTAAATAGTTTGAATGGAGTTTCTGTCTTAAAGTATGAATGAGTAGATAAAAGCTGAAATGAGTATGAGTAGCTGGGAAAGTGGGAAAGGGATGAAGAATGCAAAATATAGTATTCGCAGGGAGCTGGACTGCATTGCTTTAAACTAATGGCCGTTTTCTCTTACAAAAAATAAAATGCAACATGTTTTTGGGGTTTTTGTTTTTTTTTAAAAAAAGGCTTTGTCCCAAAATAATCAAATTACTCTTGTGTCTGTTACTTTTTCGGAGGACAATCTAACAGTTTTAATTGTCATGTTCAACGTTTTCGCTGCCAAAAGCAGTTTAGTTTGAAGAAAAAAAGCTTGGATTTTGGTGTAAAAACACGGACGTGCTGGATGCTGCAACTAACCGGTCCACCTTAAGAAGTGGGCGGGCTCAAGCGCTCTGACCAATGAGCGGCCTTCTTCGCATTTAAATAGCTCCGTGTGTCAATCATTTTTTTCCTCCCCCCAGTCAAGCTCCTCTCTCAAGTACATCTTTCAATCGCCATATTGGGTACTGAGAAGGTTTGTTTGCTGTTTCTCCCACTACGGACGAAATTGACAGAGCGGCTTCAGTTCCTGTGCACTTTGTTTTGATGATCCGTGGAGACAGCGTTGGGCTTCACGACACCGCGGCCGTTACCGTCTCCAGCTCGACGTATGCATGGCATAAGTCGTTTTACGCTTGTTTTGGATCTTGCTAAGCAACAAGGAGATATCCGTTGTTTTTGAGCGGCGTGTTTTTCTTGTGAAAAACTGGACGCTCCCGGCCGTTTGACACATTTAGTCTTTTCTTTAGGGGAAAATGTCAGATGTTCGACTATCAAACGGGAGCCCGACGTTGGAGCGGACGGACTCCCGGGTCTCGGATCACCCGAAACCGTCAGCCTGCAGAAGCCTCTTCGGCTCGGTGGACCACGAAGAGTTAAAGAGGGATTTAAAGGGACATTTGCGGGAGATGGAAGAGGCTGCCACCGCCAAGTGGGGCTTCGACTTCGCCAATCACACGCCGCTGGCCAACGGCAGACTCGAGTGGGAATTAGTGGATTGCAGAGACGTGCCGAATTTCTACAACGGGCAAAAGCGGAGGGAGAAGGGCGTCTGCTCCGCTGGGATTAGCGTGGATCTTAATGGGAATCATAACTGTGTTGTGGTGGCTCCGAGCGAAGACAGCGACAGGTCTGACGGGCAGATGGAGTGCACGGAGCAGTGCCCCGGGCTGAGGAAAAGACCTGCATGTCACGGTACTTATGTTTGTGCACCCAAATGAGCGCTATGTTCAGTGTAACAGGTAGCCAGGCTGGGGCTTATTGCACCATATCGATCACAGTGGGGGTATGTAGCTCATCGGGCTGAAGTGCACCGAAAATACTTTTTTTTTTTTTTTTTTTTTTTTTATAGCCCCAAATACCAAACACACACATATCATGAACTGTATAGCTGCATTACCTCACACATAATGCACTGTGATTAACACTGTGAAGTTGTATGTATTGCGATGTATTATTATGACATCCTAAATCATATATAAACAGTATATCACTATGTTACTAAACATTAAACTTTTAGTTTAGCATAAAATGCACACATATACAACTAAACAGAACATATATGCAGTATACAGTATACCGCTTACACAATGTATTTTAACAATAATTTAAAGCGTATTTGAATTGAATTAAGACAAAGAGACAGCGGGAGAGAGAGTGAGCGAGAGAGCATCAGAGAGAGCTGATGACTCCTGGGAATTGCTAAGTGATGGTAACTGGACTCCAACATGTTGCAGTCTGGGAAGTCTCCTGATGAATAGGAGAGAGAGAGGGCAGCGGAGGAGGGATGGGAAGGAAGGCAGGAGAAAACCTAGCTGTGTAATGTACAGGCACGGTGCCAGGGCGTCCATTTCATTCACAAAACCCCTGAGCATGTCCAACCTTAGGCTGAACAATCTGCTCCCACTCAGCCCCCTGGAAAAAAGGATAGGAAGCTACTCTCACTTCTCCTCCTCTTTGCTCGCTTTTATCCCCTAATGTTCTTTTTTTTGTTTTCTATTTATTTTTTTCTTAATTAGGCTTATATTAATTGCTAAAATGTTACCTTTTTATGTAGTATGGCCTTTGATGTGCTGACAAGACAAACCAGCCAGACCAATGTTGTTTTGGGACTCCCTGACTGAGTTTATTAAAATGTTTTCCAAGAGTGAAATGAGTCATTTGGCATGAAACATATCTTATGCTTTCTTTCATTTTCAAATTAAATGAAACAAAATGTTAATTACACCTAAAGACTAGCCATCAGCTAAACACTTCAACTTGCTTGTGCTCCTCCGGGCAGTGATGTAAAGAACTGCTGTAATTAACTGAACCAAATTACAGAGGTCTGTGTGCCAATATTGCACCCTGCTAAAGTTACAGTAGACTCTCCAAAATGGAGGAATACGGTTTTAAATTTTTCATAAAAAGCATCCCATCCCACATGTAGCAGCTCAACTCACCCTGACCCAGGGGTAATTTGAGTCAGAGTAGCTGCTTCAGCCTGTCTGGTCATCATTTTGACAAGAAAACAGCACACACAGAAATATGTGTCTGTAAAAGATGATCTGAAACTAAAACTTACATCGCTTGGTTGAGATATTGAAGACCTTCCTTCTCCTCCAAAACTCAGTGCAGCCCTCTCTCGACCTTACAAAGCACACACAGAGCCTCAGACATATGGTGGAGGAAAACATGGACAATGGAGGGCATACAAATCCTGAAGCCATGTGAAAGTGTGAAGAGCTTAAGCGAGTTTTCTTTTCGAAATCTTTGTAGTTTGTTTTGCCACTAAATGCCAAGAAGCAAGAAATTTTCATCCCACAGCCCACCCACACAGTAAAAATGTACAGCTTGCAACTGCCCCAGTGACATGTTGAAGGTCACACAGTTACTTCACATTACAGCAAACTCTTTCAAACTGGTCTCTTACATGAGGGGAGCCACAACCTGGTTGTACTCACTAAAAAAGAAAAGCATAACAGGTACAACACACGGCTGCGCTTTTATATAGATTGGTTATTTACTGCAAGATAGGGATCCTCTAAATCAGAGATACCTCGCCACGGTTCTGGCATTTGCTGTGACTCATATCTGTTGTGTGTTTATGTACATGTCTGTGGGAGTGTACGTAGGTGTATGGTTTCAGAAAACAAATCTAATGTCTGATTATGTGGGCCTGTGTACATGTCAGTGTGGATGCATATGTTTATGTGGATTTTTTCATACTGGCTGAAAACGCTGCAGATCTTCTCATAGGATAAGAAGGTTATGGGTGGGTGGACAACCAACGGGGGTTTAGAAAAAAAAAAGGCACAAGGATCAACAAGAAAAAAGTCTTATGCAGCGTGATTTTGTGATTTTTAAGCAGCAGCTTGGAGCATGACTTTAGGAGCGGGTGGGGAGCTAGGGAGAGAGGAAGATCAGGAGGAGGAGGAGGAGGAGGAGAGGAAAAGAAAGTAGGACAGAGATGTGTGGGCCTGGCTCTGTGAGGACGGTGGCTCTAATCAGGACTGAGCAGCTGCTATTACTCCAGCGCTCTCTCAGGGAGGGCAGGCAAACCCTACTCATGCTTTAACATCAAGGAGGGAAATCTAAATCACACAGGGTCCTGTTAGAAGCAGCACACAGCTTTGGGAAGGAAAAAAAACTGGATTTTCTCTTGTCTTGCTATATTAAGACATTGTAAGAGCTGTGAATTATTTGGTAACATTGATCTGCAGATGAAAATGATCAAGGTGGAACAGATTAGAAACCGTGTATGAACTTCACTCATTTGGACACAGTCTATTTCACCCCAAAAAGCAGTGACTGATCAAGCTAAACCCCCCCCACGGCAGGCCTGTCAAGCTTTGGATTTCTCAACATGCCAAAGCTAAACAGCGATACTTGGCATTTTCGAAACCAAAAGAGTAGAAAGAACAGCAAACCGTTTAAAAAAAGCCCTGTTCACGACATCATTATTAGTTGTCTGTGGGACCATGGCAGACAGAACACGCCACTTCAGTTTCAGTTGTATGCAACCATCTAGTGCATATTTAAGACCCTTATGCTGGGTTATTATTTTGACATTTGTCAGTTGTAAACTTTAAAAAGTCAGCCTGAGACAGTTTTTTAATCAACTCACAGATCTATTATTAGCTTAATTAGCTAGCTAGTTAGAGTTGATAAAACCTGCTTCAACAGCGCAGCCATTTCATTTTGACTTGAAGGTAACTATGGGTGGGCAGGGGTGAATACATGTACATCTCCCACAGTAGTTTAAATAAAGATATCACTTGATAAAAGGAAATTGTGTTCCAACAATCACCAAAAACGTATTTTTCATTAAAACCTTTTCACATCAGCCACTATATAGCACACAAATTGTTTTTCATGCAAGTCACCAAAGCCCCAATCCCTGTAGCAGACCCTGTAGCAACAACGCCCAGAAACACCTCACACTGAAATATTAAATAGCAAATGCGAAGCGACAGTCTCTCGAAAACTCAGCACTTTGTGGGGAAAAACAAGCTGTCAATATCTGTACCCTGGAAGCACATGAAACCTGAAAGAGACAGACAGACAGTGACAGAGATGGAGAAACAGAAAGAGAAAGAGATAGAGAGGACACACTGACATCTTTGTCTCCCTCACTGTGGGCTAAGGTGTTCGTCTCTGACAGGGAATGTCGATCTATATCTAAAGTAGATGGCTGAACCAAAAGAGCTACGGTATGTTGGTACCTGTGTTCACCCAGAAGGCCGTGCAGGGTGAAAATCATAGCAAACGTTCCCCTAGCCCACTATGCTTAAAATATACGGATTGTCTTCCTACCAAGAGGAAAATACACTGTACATCCCCAACACAGAGTAAATCAACATCCACATGCTGCGTTGTTTGATATTCCCAAGTGTGATCTACATACAATTGTGTGTCATCATTTGCTATCGCAACACAGCCATCTGTTATGTACCAGACAACAGTTTGTATGTGTCAGACGTTCTGAAGGAGTTATATACTCTAATTTATTCATAAGGTTTTTGGTTAGCAAAAATGATCACAAGACAAATCAGTGATTAACAAATGATAACATACTGAGGATTCTGCACCCAAAAAGCAATTTCTTGAAGTCGGGAGTCAACATGACTGATATTACACTAGACTCCTACACTCGCCTTGTAGGTGGTGGGCCCACGTAGCAAGATGGAACGTGATCGATGAAGATTACAAATGTCTTCTCCTTTGATAAGGCCAAACGACCACTACTGTCATTTTATTTGGTAAGGACAGTACAGGCTTTGTCACACATGAACCATTGCATTAGATCAGTTATCAGCTGTTTCATTCATGTTTCACGACACCTGACTCATCCATCAGCTGTTTGGCTACCAGCTGACTAGTAATGTCCGATGATTCACGTATGTGCACAGCCTGTCCATTAGAACTTGACATTTCTCACCGTTACTCTTCTGATACGCTCATGCTAATGCTGCGTGCTTCCCACACCACCCCAACCTCCCTACTTATGTATTAAGCTTTTAGTATTAATTCTTTCAAAGCCTTAATTATTAAGGTTGTGCTTATCCTACATAGCAAACTAAGTCTGGCCCAGTCAAAGTCTAGATACAACTATAGAATAGGACCAAATCTGGACCTGAAATTGGCCGTCAAACAACAGAAACAACAGAAATTTAAGCTGGCTGACTTCAAATCTCAGCTAGATGTCACCATCAGCTAACTACTTTCATTAATTATTGCTCATTTAAGCTTATATGTCTTGAGGAGCATAAGAAACCCACAATACCTCAATATTTTTGTTCAATATCTTATTTATTATACAAACCCTAACAGTATTAAATATGTGACTGTTGTATTTTCAAATATATCCAAACCAATTGTTGTCACTGCCCAGGTAATCCTGCAGTGTACAGAGCAGGACAGTAATCAATGAAAAATCCATATAATGTACTGTTTTATGAATGCAATATTAACTGCTTTCATTTGAATCAGTTCACAAAACTGTACCAACATTAAAATATGAAACAGCAAAAAACGGACCAAAGGCTGAGCTTTCACAAAGCAATGATTTTCCAGTGTTAACAGACCAAATACTTTTCTTACTCTTGTAAACAAAAACATTGCTCTGATGCTCAAGTATGTAAATTCTTTCCTAATAAATATAACAACTTCTGATCAACTCGTATCAATTTCAGACTTAAATTAACAACTTTGATTTATCCCCATCCACTTCAGATTTAAGCACCACCTACATCTGATTTAAGCCCCGCCCACTCGGAGTGCTGATCCGTTC